CTTTAAAATATATATGATTTATTCTGAAAGTTCTTATAAGATGAGAGATGTATAACTTAAATATTTTAACAAAAATGATAAAAGTGAAAGTTTTTTTTTTATATATATATATATAACTCTTCAGTAGTCCATAGCACAAGAATAGTTAGCTTGGAAGCAGATTTACTCATCATAAAATTATAGCATCAATGTTTTAATAAAAGTCATTGATCTATTTATTTTTCGTGATGGAACCAAAATTTACTACATTAATGTGATTTGGTGACAAATATTCATGCTCCTTGTGAAGAACTTGCCAAAATTAATACAGTAGCTATGTTTCATAGCTCCAGATGGATAAGGCCACACGTGTATTATAATTTGCACTGTACATTCAGTACGTGTCTTGTAGAGACAAAAAAATTAGATTCTTGTAAAATTTCTCAACTTTGATTATTGATCATTTATATTCTTTGGTGTGACTAGTGGTGTTCTAGGTGTACTACTTAGATTCATGGTTGATAGTCCATCCAAAGAGCCTTTCCATTTCTTTTGCTGTAAGAGTTGCATCGTTCTGTATACATTTGAAACTCTTTTTAACTTTAACAGTTGTTTTCAATGTGCTTTTTTATATTGCCATTGTTAAGTGGATTTCAATTCCAACACAGATCTTGTACACTGGAATGTGGTGTATCATTTGGATATCCTTATAGAAATGTACTACAAAATCGTGTATATTGTACAATTTGGCAAGGTAGCATTGTGAAATGTTTACTGTTAGAATGATCACATATGGAATAACTGGGAAATATAAAGCCTTTTGATTTGTTTCAGCTAATATGTGGTAACAAACATTTAAAATTTGTACAAAAAATCATACTAGAGCTACATGTGTCTGTGTATATTTTTAAGTGCTAGAAGTTAACTGGTGCAAATAAACAACAGACAGTAATATTGATTATTTATTATCATCGCTATTGGCTTAAGACATTGTTCAGGGAAGGTTGTTGAATAATATTTTTTGTTTTTTGTGGAAGAAGTAAAAGGTTCAACAGTTTTTAGGATTATTTTTCTCATTTACAAAATCTGTAGTATCTAATTATAGCAGAGCAAAAGGTTTTATAATATCACTGCTTAAGTGTTATTGAAACGTTGGTTTTTTAACATAGAGAGAACATTGTTATCACGAGATTGATGAATGATGGTGGGGAGTGCCTTTAGAACTTAAACTTCTGGAATATAACATTATTTTGTTGTAATGATGAGGTTTAGTAGCATTCAGGATTTTACATGGTGAATAGTAACACTTGGAAAACAGTGTGGAAGTTAAGTATATACATATATCAACCAAGTATTTTAATTCTATTTTTTTATCTATCATAAAGATAGTTTTTTTTGTTTGTTTTCCTTCTATTATCTAATGTAGTTTACTACTGGTCTTGGTTTGTTTTTCCACACACACTTATAAAGAAAATAGAAGTGTATATATATAATTCTGTTAGTAACCTGGAAAGCATATAAAAATAATTTTACATTGTCATCGTGAACTTTCTGTATTGCACAAGAGTATTTTGGACTGTATATTCCATACGAGATGTGGGAAAGCATAAAGGATTCTGGCATTTATGGACTGTGTTTAAGCATTGTTTACTGTTTTGTATTTTTACAATATAATAACAGCTTAAATAGTAACATATTTAATGAGAAGCAAGACCAGTAGTACTTACAGATATATATTAATGCTAGGTCTCAGTATGAATTGTATTAACAATAAAACATTTCTTATTTAGGTCTGTACAAAAGAAAGTGCTTATATCGGAATGTTTAATTGAACATCTACTTTCAGAACATTAAAATTGAATAGTAACTGCATTACCTTATACATAAAACTGCTTCGTTGTAACTGAAAATTCTGTGATATTTCTTAGATGATATCTTTATTGTCAATTCAAGTAGAACATTATGAAGTTGGCAAGACAATATCAACTATTTATAATAATAAAAAAATCAAATGTCAAATTTTGGTGTAAAATTATAAAAATAGAGATATGGCACTATTTTTTAAGAAAAAATCTGTGTAGATTTATGGCACCACATATGTGATTAAAAACATCCAATTGCCTATGCAGTGTTGTGCTATAGTTGTTTATCCAAAGAAATACTTTTTTTTTCTTAGTTGTTTAAAATGTTTCATTATTGAGAGATAAACAAGTCCTTTAGATAATTTCAAATCTTGTACATAAGCAGTAAGATGTTCTTTAAAATAGTTTTAAATTATTTTGGTTATCATGTTCTCTGGATTTTTTTAGTCATTTCAACATTGAAGATTGGACTTTTTTTTTGTTGTCCAGTCCTGTGGATTACAGTTTTTTCTTGACTTTGCCTCTTAAGAAGAGGCTGTAGTTGCTGAATTTGGTGGTGTGATGCCATTCTTCTGGAGCTCCATCCATGTGATACCAGTCTAACACTGATACTGTGTCACAGAAAGAGACATCAGTAGGCTGGTAGTTTAATCTTTACTCCTATATCTGTTGATATCTGTTTGTTAGGTGCTTGAATGGTTTCTTCCTTTGAGAATATGCAAGGAAATAGTTTGTTTGTTTCCTTGATAATTGTTGTGGTCCTGCCCAGGATGTTTTTGAGATTTTGCTGATTGCACTCTAGTGTTACTTACTAGGGTGTATTCTAAATTTGAAGCTTAGCCATAAATTTTTAGTAAATAGTGGGCCCTAAATTTCCATTAAATAATTCTTTTCCTGTACATTTCATTTTCATTGTCTTAAATAAACATTTATTCAGGATTGAAAGGTTTCCTTTTTCATCATTTGTGCCAAATTTTCCATGAAAGGCTTGGTAACCAAGGTTTTTAGAAATTCCAAAATTGGACACTGTTAGAGAAAAACTGGCATACAAGGAAATAATTAAGTTCCCTATAAGAAGTTAATGGAAGCAATTCAAAGTTTGTTCAGTCAATATTCTTTGGTTGTTTAATCCTGTCATCCAGAAAAAAAAATAAAATTAATGTGGTATTAAAAGATAATAATGGTATTCAAAGTGTAGTTGATCCACAAGTTTATTAGCAAATGTTTTCTATATAAATTAAGTTTTACTTGTTTTAATACATGATAAAAAATTACACACATTGTTTTATCAGTGAATATATGCTGATACAAATATGTATGTTAATTAATTATTTTAAGATATGGTAGTTATAGAAAATGACATCTGTTTTGTTTGTCACCAAAGCCTGCAGTGATAAACCAAATATACTGTAGAAATATAAAGTACGTTAAGACATGTAAATTATAATTTTAATGGCATTTCCTGTGTAAAAGAATATCGGTAGATAGTGCATCCGGAAATGTTTGTATAAATCTATCATCATAACAATAAACAATTTTCGTGAGTTATATTTATTAATGAAAAGAGATTGAATGATGAAACTGAAGAAACTAGAACGTTCATATTTATTTATTTCTATTTTTGTCCGAAATTAGAACTCTCATTGTACATAAACATTTTAAACATGGCATTTGGTGGATTCAGACGTTTCATTTTATGTATTAATATTTCATTCTTGTGCATAAACCATTTTCGTTATTGTAATAATAATTATTTGTAATAAAGCCTACTGTCTGTGTTATCAGCGTTATCTAAAGTAGAACGCTTATTAAAAAGGTACATTAAATAATGCATGACAGAAATCCAAATTGGGAAGGTTTTCCTTAATATTAAATAAAATTGTAACGAAATTCATTAGGGCTTTTGTGTGTGTGTGCATCGTGTTAGTTCTTAACGAAGTATTTAGCTTACGTTAACCTTCAAATTAGCGGCATGTTTTTACGGTTTTCACTAACGGTGTGGGCCACGTTTTATATTGAGAACTGTGATATTGCCTGTCGTAATACATATTGTAGAAACAACGACTAAAAATGAAATAACTACAAACAATTTACGTGAATTTAAAAAAAGTCACGTATAAGTAATGTGGTAATATAAATAGTGTACAAAGAAGGTAGGGTAACTGTTCGGAGGACCAGCGATTTAATCCGATCTGATGGTGTATATACACGTCTTTATTTAAGAATTAGGAGTTAAAACAAAAACATTTACCTATTTCTTGTTGCTATTAATAGGATTAAAAAATTGTCGTAACACTCATCCTTCTCCTGAGGGATCATTGAGTGTTTTGCTTTGAGGTCCAGTATTGCTATCGTCAGGAGTGAAGATGCTATTGGGAAATGTGTAGTTTATACTAAGCCACCTTATTGATTACTGGTTGGATATGCTCTACTTGCTTCTGATGCAAAATAGATTGATTTAAGCAAATTTTACACCTCGTTCTTATAGCGGAAAAATGTTAGCGAGATTGTGAAAACTTACTGAGTTTTTGAAAGTGTTTTTTTATTGTGCAAATGACAATCACTTGTAAAAATAAAATCCAGCATCCTGTAAAATGAAACTATAATGCAAAAACGGGTGTAGAAAGCCAATTAAAAGTGGGGCAGGGGGCAAGATGTATTTGACCGAGCAAAGAAAAGGAATGTGCGCCAGAGGCGCACCAGGGGTCCAGGGCTAGCCTTGAGGCCCTGGAAGCTCGCGGGTTCTCCATTAAATTTTATGCATTCTCCTGCTTTTCCTGAGAGTT